TGGAATATTCAAAAAGATTTATAGAATGTAATGTAAAAGTCATAATTTTACGATTTCAAGTAGAAAATTATGTTGTATTGATATATCGAATAATTTGTATTATATGTATTGTAATTTATTAGCAATGTAAATTATTCGATATATGCATGTATTTATACTATACTTTTTCAAAACGTGGTTGACCATTCATAATTCTTGTATTTTATTAACAACGTTCAACATTAAAGTTTGATTATTTTAGATCAATGTTTCTCAACTTGGAGGGGAGCAAGGATGTTGTATTAACTTTTTATTTTTATTATTCGATATACGTATGCATTTATATTATACTTTTTCAAAACGTGGCTGATTGTTGTACTAACGGGGGTATCATAATATTTGGGATACTGAAAATTAGGATATACTGCTCTACCGTAATACTCATGTATAGCTATATAACTCTTACGAGAGTTTCAAGAAGCTAATTAATAATAAAAAAAAAAAAAATACATTAGTAAAATAATTGACATACAGTGAGTATAAAAAGTATTCGTACCCTAGTCAATTTGAACAAAAACTTTGCAGAACTTTGTTTATTACAAAAGTATGTTAACAAAAACATGCATACATATTCTTAGAAATCTCTGGAACAAATCTCATTAACAACAAATTATTTATTTATATTTATTATGAAAATATTAACAAATTTCCAGAAATTGACCTAAAATATACGCGTAATAAGTATTCGTACAGTCTTTGATTCGTAACATTCCACATAGAACGATTACAAGATAATCCATGATATGTAAACATACTTAGCATCAGTATGTCTGGAGACGCTGTCGGTATAAGTAGTATCCTAAGTATTATCAACGAAATTATTAATAAAATGGGACGAAAACGCAAGGAAACCTCTGAAGAAGAAAGGAAAATTGTTATTTTACATAATAAGTGTAAAACACTGACAAGGAACCATCGCGAACGGTCCGTCTTCGTTTTTGATGAAACTTTGTACACTTATAAAGCAGCCAAAAATAATCGACACGTATTTTTTTTTAGCTGCGGTAACTCGAGTTTAAGGGGTGAAACCACCCCTTGAAGTTTTGGCTCGAAACGGCTATCTCGAAAACGGAAAGAGATACAAAAAAATTGTTAATGGGCGAGGTTAATGGTTTCTTATGTACAATAACATGGTGTTAAAAAATTTAAAAAAATACAATTTGTTTATAACAAAAAAAAATTTATTAACTTAATTTTTCATTTTATTGAAATTTTCATAATGACAAAAAATGACGAGCATTTTATTCCAAATCCATTGGTATGCGATTTTTTAAAATTGCCTCTTACAGTTTTGCAGATTTTGATGATTTACATCTTGCGCGCACATTCATTATGGTAGTAGCCGTTCTAACTTTGATTTTAATGAAGCACTGTAGGCTTGCACTAAATTATACAGTAATAAGTAGCGAGTAATAATAACAGTAACAAGTTTCTTAACAGCAACGAAAGGATTAATTATTTTTATTGCCCACCTATGACATCGTGGCAAAGGTGGAGCGATTTATAAATTATAAATATATGCAGTGTGTATAACAATTATTCTATATAGTTCCGACAATAGTGGTACTCGTCGAAAAAATGTTTCAAACATAAAGATTTCTTACACCATGCGCATTTAATTATTGCCACGACACCGCAAATATGACATGTTGGCTCATTTTCAACAGAATAGCAGTACTCAACAGGATTCTGGAATGCATTTGGCTTTTCATCTATATATCCGGATTTATACCAGGAGTATTTAATAAAATTTTGGAACCTTGGCGATGAAAATTGATTGTGGACCAGAGATTGAAGTTTAATTATATTATTCCTAGCGTGGAGATTAATGTCGTGATTTAAAACGAGAACTATATCGGAAAATCGGCGGACGAAATTTTTCCAAGTGCGGAAACCGTAAACATCCAGTGGTTGAACATACTTTGTTCCACCTTTTGGTATTATAAAAAGTTTTACATTTTTACCCTCGGGAGTAACTTCGTTCACCGTCTTCTTACAGTGACCACTCCAGGAATCAAGAATTAGAACTGTTGCGGCCCCAGTATTTGCGAAGTAAATCTCTCTTAACCAGGTCTTGAAATGGTCCGTAGTTAATTTGCCTGACTTTGAAGCTACAAGATATACATTGTCAGGGCGAAATAAATGTTGTTCCACAATCGGCCCGAAATGTCCTGTACTCTCTTTCAGTACAATAAATAATGGTGACAGTAATTGTCCATCAGCTGAAATGGTTGGCTGGATGGTGTAACTATGAGTGGTGGATGACACTGATTGAACACCTCCTTCTACGATTTTTATACCTTCTTCAGCCAAAGTGCGCCCTGAATGTAATTCCAAATTAAAACCACTTTGATCGGAATTGGAAACATTGTGTGGTTCATTTCGGGCTATATATGATTTTACTTCATTCACGAATGCGCTGCATTGCAAATGAATATCGTCTTCTCGATTTATCATATTTGTGGTTACAAATCTGGTAATTTTTCTGGACACTAATCTAAACATCTTTTTAAAAGTATATAGCCAAGTATATCCGGCTTTAAATGTTTGTAAATTTTCTATGTCCCTCGCTTGTAAAGCCCATCGCCGTAGATCTACTTCATGCACAATTACTCTTAACTGCCGAGCTTCCATAAATTTATTAAATGTATACTCTGCAATACGTTTTATCTTTTCCTTTTTTGTGCCACCCTGTTCAACTTGTAAAGCCCATTTACGAAGCATTCTTTCGGATTTCACGTGACGGAATTTGGAACGTACGGTGTCTAATTTTAATCGCTTCGACTTCCCGCTGTTCCAGTACGCCACAGCTTTCCTTTTATATTCGAATGGGATGTATTCCTTATTCGAATGACATACAACGTCTTGTTCGTATATGTTTGGAATATTCGGTGTCCTATTTTCCTCCTCTTCATCTACCCACAACCAGTTCAAATCAGCATCCTGATTTTCTTGGTCGATAGGCGTCCCGTCCATTTCAACACACGTTTCATGTTCAACCAGGAATGCCGTGTCTTCGACACTTCTTACAATTAAATCGAATAATACATCCCTTAAATTTTCTTCTGCGCTATTAATTGGCGTGGGTCCCTGCTTCCACTCAACAAACGCAGCAGACAGTAAAGTTATTACATTAATAGGATTAATATTTACCATCTTTCCGAATACAGTAAAAGCTGGATATATGCAAGAAAAGATTGGCTGGATAAGTGCAACGTTTAAATGCCCAGAATCGGCACCTCGGCTGTATGGATAACCAACAATGTTCTACACGCTTATAAAGAGCTAATTGCAATATATATATATATATATATCCAAGTTCTCCCACTTATCTACCAACAAATATTATTTTCACATGACAAGGGCAATCAATTTAATTAACTTTACGATATGTCACGTTATCAAAAGGTATAATACAAACTCCATTTCAATATACCCATTTTATCATGTTTATTACAAAAACAGTCTCGATTTTAAAGAATGTTAATAACAACAGAGATACAGATGCACGTACTAATCTCATTTGACACGTATTTTTATTATACAAATTACACAGAATGCTTTCACAACAGTGAAGATTTAGATAACGTGCGTAAACTGCATGATAGGCGAGCCGCAGAAATGACAATATTTATTTATTCAATTTGTATTTTAAAGCAAGTACATCATGAGAATAGTAAGTGTATCTTTATCTCCTGGTATACACACTGTATGTATTTATAATTTATAAATCGCTCCCCCTTTGCCACAATGTCATAGGTGGGCATAAAAAAAAATCTTTTCATTGCTGTTAAGAAACTTGTTACTGTTATTGTTACTTGTTACTTGTTACTGTATAATTTAGTGCAAGCCTACAATGCTTCATTAAAATCAAAGTTAGAACGGCTACTACCATAATGGATGTGCGCGCAAGATGTAAATCATCAAAATCGGCAAAACTGTAGGAGGCAATTTTAAAAAATTGCATACCAATGGATTTGGAATAAAATGCTCGTCATTTTTTGTCATTATGAAAATTTCAATAAAATGAAAAATTAAGTTAATAAATTTTTTTTTGTTATAAACAAATTGTATTTTTTTTAATTTTTTAACACCATATTATTGTACATAAGAAACCATCAACCTCGCCCATTAACAATTTTTTTGTATCTCTTTCCGTTTTCGAGATAGCCGTTTCGAGCAAAAACTTCAAGGGGTGGTTTCACCCCTTAAACTCGAGTTACCGCAGCTAAAAAAAAATACGTGTCGATTATTTTTGGCTGCTTTATAAGTGTACAAAGTTTCATCAAAATCGAAGCCGGACCGTTCGCGATGGTTCCTTGTGAGTTTTCTAAAGTTTTAAACAGACCGAGGTCCACGATTCAAGGAATCATCGACAGATATGACGATCGAAAAACTGTAAAAACTAATCCAAGAAACGGACGTAAACGAATAATAAACGAATATACCGGCCGATGGATAATTCGAAAAATAATGCAAAATCCAAAGATAAGTGCGGTGAAAATCACAGCTGAACTTAAAAATGATCTGGACATTAATGTATGCAGTAGCACAGCGCGTAATTTTTTACGGGATAGAGGATATCACGGCAGAGTAGCTCGTAAGAAATATTTCGTAAATGAAATTAATAGAAAGAAACGATTGCAATTCGCGAAAGAGTACGTTAACGTTCCTATGGAGCACTGTGTTGGGAATGTTGGCAAACATGCATATGTGGGTGACATGAATTTACACTGATGAGCTGAAAAAATTATTTCTCAAGATTAGATCTTAAAGAAAATAAATCTTGATAGGATTCGTAGACAATTTGAGGGGTTTAGTCTGGCGGTCAACGTGTTAAATAAAATGTCCAACTTTTCGTTTTATTTGTCTTGCACGCGACGATGATCGATCAAACAAGATCGTCAAGCTGAAACGCCTGAATTTTAAAGTTCGTAAAGGAGAAACAAATGTATATTTACCGTCTGCGTACGCTGGGGGCAACAATTTCAAGAAGGGGACACCGCGTGAACCCCAAACAGGATGCCTGACGTTGTTGCATGTACCGGAAGGCGTTCTATATTTGCTCGGTGGACATGGTCTTTGCGGTTTCACTCTACAGGGAGCATCTTTGGCTTCCGTCCTCTCTTGAAACCTGAAATAAAAAGAAAAGCAACCAAACTGGTGAAAATTTCTCTTATTTATTTTCTTCAATTTGCTCGTTTACTCTCACACTATATACGCGAAAAATTATTTGAGGCAACTTTCCACTCTGGAATCTTAGAAAAATCTATTTTTTTTCAATTCAATTTCCTAAAAATCTTCGAAAATATTTGGAATTATTTTGCACTTTTGCGAACCTTATTTTTCGAACTTGCTTCTAAAATAAAATGGTGAAAGGTATGGAACAAATAGGACATTTACGATTATTAATTTACAGTCGCTGTTTAATCTCTGACCGCAAAATTACACAATAATTTATACTCTTAAACAGAAATTTTTAAAAAAATTTGTTTAAAAAATTTATAAAAAAATTAAAAAAAAAAAAAAGTGGCTACCAGAAATAGTTTCAAAGATCGTTCTATCGAAAAGGAAAAAGTGCAGTAATTATAAGAATGAATGAAAACGAAGATAACTCTGAAACTAATTTCTCGGTGCATCAAAGAATTTAACTGTTATTTGCATTGCGTGAAAACAGTTGACGGAATGCATGAATCAACGTCGCGTTAGCCAGGTTTTGCACACTATAATCAATCACACACGATGCGCGAATTGCTCGAACCGAGTATACAATTATTGTAACTTACATAATTATTCCAACTTTCTATCTAATAAAAAACGCTAACAACCTCACGAGTCAAACGATTCAGGGAAAAAAAAAATTAACGCGATGAAAAATGGTGTTCGTAGTTTCTTTATAAGAGTTTATAACGCATCGGCAACGAGGAAGTATATAAGTCATGCGTGAGTTATGTGAGTCTTGTAAAATCTATGACAATAAGGACTTGTCGACAATGCATGTACACGCCGATAAATCAAATCGCAATTCGCGCAGTAAAAGATTGCGTGTTATGTATGTGTAAATTGCTGCGCGGGAACAATATCTGTGGCTGTATCAGGCACTGGAAGTAGTATCAATTAGAGAAACTACGAGTCTTTACCAACAACCAACACTAACGACTCTTCTTCCCAACTCTTTTTCATTTTAAATTAATAGTAACACTCTGTTATCTATATATACTAAATAAGTTTTACGAGCTTGAAAATGCTTTCTTTTTTAAACTAGCTTTTTATGGTCTAGTTTTGTTAGAACATTACAATTTTATTTGAAACAATAATCGAAAGTTTATTTCAAAAATAAAATTTTCTGACAGTAAAAAATTTGATGAATTATCCAAGAAAATATGCACACGTGATAATAGATGTTGGGAATGTTGGCAAACATGCATGTGTTTGGAGGGATTTCCTTTTTCCTTCCTTGGCAGGCGTGCGCGTAGTCTTTTGTTTTTCTATATAGCCGAACGCATTGTGTACGAAAATGATCCATGTTATATGTAAATAAACGTAACCTTAAAACGTATGTGTCGTTGGTTGTTTAAACTCTGTAACCTCTGCTACAATAGATTAATATTAAGGTGTCCCACGAAAAATATTGTGCAATTAAAAACTTCGATTTATTAGATATTAGATGCAACGAAAAGTAATTTCAAAACTCTTTTCCAAAAAGTGTATCATCGAAATGAAAGTGTTCGAAAGTGAAGAAGATCTGGATTCTACAATGGATCGATTATAATTTTTATTAAAGAATTCTAACATGTTCATTTTTAAGTTATTTATACATGGTAAAATCTTACGAATTATCCAAGAAAATATGCACACGTGATAATAGGTGTCCCACGAAAAATATTGTGCGATTAAAAACTTCGATTTATTAGATATTAGATGCAACGAAAAGTAATTTCAAAACTCTTTTCCAAAAAGTGTATCATCGAAATGAAAGTGTTCGAAAGTGAAGAAGATCTGGATTCTACAATGGATCAATTATAATTTTTAAATTATTTATATATGGAATTGTCGTTAAAATGTGTGATAATGTGTCTCGAGTTCGAAAACTAGATCATATTTTTTATAACTGAAGTGATGCTTAACAAACAAATTAAATTCATTGTTTAAATGATTTGCAGCGATAACTTAGTTATTATTCGTTATTTTGAAAACAAATTATCTTAAGAAAGAGCACTCAGGAGGAGATGAAATGTACACCTATTCAAAGTATACAAAAGGAACTAATTTCAGTCCAAAAATGAAAGAATAGATATGTTTGGTTTTTCGTAATCTTTTCTGGAATTTGATAAGTGCGAGAAGAAAGTAATTTGACTGGAATCATTGGAACTTATCCATATCTTTAAATGCGAGAATTTTTAATTACAAAACTGCAAAATTTTTTACTAAATAAATTGAAATTTGTCTGCTTGAGAGTCAATTGTTTTAATTCCAAAGTGAAATGTCAGTAATCAGTGATAGATAGCTTTCTCGTGGCAACACCTGCCGCACTCGCCAGCAGAGGGCTACGTTCTCTCACAAGTACTCGTCTAACCTCACCAACGCTCACCTCTCCTTTCCTTTTCTTTCCTTCTGCTACCTTATTCTATCTCTTTCTGGAGCAACAGACTGTCACAAGCTGGATAGATATGTGTGTTGAATATTTATTTGCTAAATAAATACAATAGAGTTTCGACGTAAGTACGTATTTAATTAATGTAGCTTTGCAAAAGGAAAATGCTGTTCCTAGCTTGACGGTTTCCTGCTAACTGAGCTTGAGACTTGGAGAAAAAGAAAGAACAAAGTTCACACAGTAACTACACGAACTGATGATATCACATTCTTTAATATTAATGTGTTTATATAAATAAATACGACGACCATGCGGCTACAGAACGCCACGTGCTAAAAAGTGGTGAAAAGAAAAAAGGTGTCGCCACTTGGTTGCGTGCTTATTGCCGCGCGAATATGAATTCCTCAACAAAATTTTCATTAAAAATACATGCATGCAATGCTTATTCTCAACAATGTGTGAACTAGGCAGACCATAAGACACTGGAAGAATGGACCAAAAGGATGGATGATATTTGCAGACTGTGGTTATCGTTGATAACATCAGTTCTCCGTTTGGTTGTTCATTATCAGAGACAGTTCCTACGTAGAAACTCGCAAATGATCCGCGCAAAAAGTGACCCTGCCCGTCACAATTAGAACGGCTGTGGCGGGACTTTCTATCGCGCAAAAAAGATGACGGCGTTCAAGAGCAGCGAAGCAAGAAACGATGAGTCCGCCCCGGAATGCTCTGCAACGGTCAACAGGAAGGAAGGCCCCCGGTGATGATGGTCGAAGCATTTCACGACGAGGATATACCAGTAAACAGTCAGTCGATCGAGAAGCGTTTGTACGTGTTGGTAGTCGTTTGTTTAAGAGTGGCGATCGATTATGGCCGGTGGCAGGGCAACAAACCGGACCAAGCAACCTTCTCGAGGTTGAGGAAAGGGGAGATAGCGTTGGTCGGTAATGGCCGGGACGAGAAAGAAGCCTTCCTCGTGGCTGAAATGCCGTCACGGAAGGACGCGCCGCCGCCGGGCACCTTTTCTCGGCCATGAAAGTAAAAGTTCGCGGCGACCCGGTGTGAAAAAGAAAGAATATGGAGCAGGAAGGGCACCTGGACTTGTTCGCGACAGGCATGCACGAATCTGGTGACCGCCTGTTGATGGAAAAACGTCTAGTGCAGCAGTCGACACATTGGAAACAGACACCAGACTAACACTATGCCGCATGGTGGTGGCCCATTTAGCCCAAAAGCTGGCGAAAATTCAATTTTTTAAACACAAATCAGACCCTTGCATGTATGACTTATTTGTTGTATGCATATCAAACCATCAAATAACGTTTGAAATTTTGAAATATAAAAATTGCTTACTGGTGTACAGGGTGTTTGACCATCTCTGGGAGATTCTAAAGGCCAAAATAAGATGAGGCTTCGTTGAAAAGTTAACGTTTGAAGTTCCTTACCAAGTTTTCGGCGAAAAAAAAAATTTCAAATCGGTCTGGAAAAAATATTTTCAGTTGTAGGGATCAATTACAATTATTTTTGGTGAATAGACATACCATCAAAATCCTACGCACTTTCGAGAAAAAAATTCATTACCGAAAATCTTAAAAATCTATCTTTAAAACATCATAACTTTTGAACGGATAGAAGAATTTTAATGTTTCAAAATGCAATCGACGCGTATTTTGGTGAAGAATATGTAGAAATTACAAGAATATTCGAAAAATTGTTCGTCAACTCCGTAAAGCGAGAAAACCCCATAAAAATGGTCCCAATTTTTAAACGACTGTAACTCCTGCTATGGTAGTTGTATCTCATTGAAATTTAGTTTAGAAGTAGACCTCATGGGTACCTACAAAAAAGTATTAGACTACTTTTCTGTAGGAGGTCAAACAAAATTATGAAAAACCATAGAAAAATCGACCAGGTGCCTTTTTTCGGCGAAATTAAAAAGTTTTAAATCGTTCTGGAAAAATTATTTTCAGTTGTAGGGATCAATTACAATTATTTTTGGTGAATAGACATACCCCCAAAATCCTACGCACTTTCAAGAAAAAAAATAAATAGGTGCCTAAATTATTCGGCGAAATTAAAAAATTTCAAATCGTTCTGGAAAAAATATTTTCAATTGCAGGGATCAGTTACAAGCATTTTTGGTCGAAAGATATACCCCCGAAATCTTACGCAGTTTCGAGAAAAAAATTCGAGTAAGTACTGAATGTTTTGCGTGAAAAAAAAAAATATCGAATCGTCTTCGAAAAATTTTTTTTAGTTGCAGCGGGCAATTGCAAGCATTTTTGGTGAATAGGCATACCCTCGAAATCTTACGCAATTTCTAGAAAAAAATTCGAGAAGTATGAGATATTTCGACAAAATTAAAAAATTTCAAATTGTTTTGGAAAAAATATTTTCAGTTGCAAGGGTCAATTGCAATCATTTTTGGTGAACAGACATACCCTCGAAATCCTACCCACATACGAGAAAAAAATTCTGGAAGGTAAACAAATTTTTCGGCGAAATTGAAAAGTTTCAAATCGTTCTGGAAAAATTATTTT